TCGAAATTATCTTTCTCGATTCGAAAACAGATCGCGAAAAGAGAAGGATCGAACGATAAACGTGAGATTTCTGATTCGAAACTAATTCCTTGAACGATGTGAAACACTCGCGATGACGCACACACACACACACATAGACGGGCAATTAGCCGAGTCATCGATCTGCCGCGTTTCGCGGCGGGCGGAAGTCCGGTTGATTTTCGTGACGCAGCCGGTTGCTCGACAACCGGCATACACACGCGCTATCTACCTACGTGTAGAATGTTGACGTGGCATTTTGATTGCGGTCAATTTCGAGCAAGATTCAAGGATAGTATCAAGTACCCTTACGCGGTGACGTAAGGCCGCGTACCTATGTAAGTAGCCGTACTGTCGCAAGATGACTCGGTTAATTTATTTAAGAGAGGGGGAGGGGAGGGGAAGAGGAGAGGATGCCCGGCCGCTAACAGTGCCATATTCCTCGCCACCTCCGCATAGTTGGTAGCAATTACGTGCTCGCGATTGCCTCGTCTGGAGCGAACCAGTTTGCGGCCTTTCAGTCGCGTCGCCTTCACTCTCGGAGACGCCCACTTTCCACCCAGCGTATAACGTCGTCCTCGCTTCTTTCCATTTCCCTCTTCGTGCTTCTCATATTTCGATAAATTTCCATAGATTTCAAATCACCACTTGGACTTCGATGCTTCGTTAATCGCAAGTTGGATGGATCGCGCGCGCGCTCCAACGATCACGCACTGCTCGGCCGTGCGGGAACCGAGAGAAGGAAGAATCGGGGAAGGGAAGAATGTTGGTCGAGGAACGGAGAGACATTGAAACGTTCGGAGGAGAGAGGCGACATGGAAGGAATAAACCGCAAATCGGCCACCATCGCGCTCACCGAGCATCCCTATAGGCTAAAAATTCGCCCCTGTTCATCCCCTCGTTGGCCTAGGGGGATAGCTACCCCTGCAGGAAGAGGAAACCTTCTGCTCGAAAGCAAAACCAGTCCCGCTATTCTATTCCTCTCCGTGAACGCGCGTCTCTTGCAGAGAGAGAGAGAGAGAGAGAGAGAGAGAAAGAGGGTGGTCGAGAACTGGAAGCAGCAACAATCCCCGCAACAATCCCCGCAACCGTGTACGTGTGTACGCACCTATGGATGAAAATAATGTAACACGGTACACCATTGAAATCTATTGACGCGCCACCCCAAATGCGTCGCACATGTGTGATGCGCCCATTCTATTTATACCAATTTCGCCCCGAGAGAAGATTACTACGGGTGTCTGTTCCTGACTCTTGTGAGAACGCAAAATGGCGATGTCAAAATAACCGTAGGCAATTTTGAAACCGAGCTTCGCACAAGTAACGTTTGTCCATACATCGAAACCGATGTATATCCCAAATATGCTCGATAAATTTCCAATAATATTCGTGTTAAATCGAAAAAAATCGTAATCGTAACGCGTCAATTTTTGAATAAGCTTGAGCGAAAAAATCGAAGAAAATTGGAGACAGAAAAGTCGAAAAGTAAGTGGATCTCTCGTGTGAAATCATTTCTCTCTCCGAAGAGTACAATTCGCACCAGTATTCGCATCGAAATGTATATCCCAAATATGCTCGCTAAATTTCCAATAATATTCGTGTTAAATCGAAAAAAATCGTAATCGTAACGCGTCAATTTTTGAATAAGCTTGAGCGAAAAAATCGAAGAAAATTGGAAACAGAAAAGTCGAAAAGTAAGTGGATCTCTCGTGTGAAATCATTTCGCACCAGTAACGTTTGTCCATACACCGACGAAATGTATATTCCAAATATGCTCGCTAAATTTTCAATAATATTCGTGTTAAATCGAAAAAGAAAAAAGAATCGCGTAAAACGTTCGAAAGTATCGTAATCGTAACGCGTCAATTTTTGAATAAGCTTGAGCGAGAAAATCGAAGAAAATTGGCAGAAGAAGGAAAGTAAGTAACGATTGGCGAGCGTGAAATCATTTCTCTTGCATCCGAAGCGCGCGGTTCGAAGGCAATTCGCATGGATTGGTTACGGAATGCGAATGCATATCTTTTTATCGTGCAAATAACGCGACAATCATGCGACGTATCAGCGAAATGGTATTACAAGGGCCCCGAAAGGCATCACGGCAACCCTAGTCGCTGGACTCTGCAACTAACGCTGACGACATCGACAATAATGTAATAGCGCAAAGTAATTCAGCGAGTTACCGACTACTTACTAAAATGCCAGGAACACTTATGATCTTTACGCGTTTTGCAGACCCTGCACTCTCCGTTGTCTCATATGTATAAATAGATATTACGCGGGTATAGCCGAAATTTAAGCTTCCCTTGAGTCTTTACCTATGTATATCTCTTTCTTTCCCCCCTCCCCTTCTCTCTCTTTCATCGATGTAACGATAAAAGAAGCAAAGATACAATTTTTGTTAAATCTTACATTCCAACCTATTTCGCTCGTTTTTCCTTTTTTAAATAATTCTTTCTAATTATTTCCATGGAAAAAGAAAAAGTTTATTCTCTAAACTAGGAAAAATAGGTGATCCAATGTACTTTGGCGCGTATATAATATGATATAATACGTTCTAATTTGAAAGCTAAATAGATTCATGGAATAAAAGAGCAAAAGGACACGATAGGGAGAGGATCGTAGGTAAAATCGTCTGGAGCTAGAAACGAAACGATTGGAAATGCTAGTTGCGTGGAGTAAAAAGGAGAAACTATTTTGCATTTCTCGATAGAGAAGAATGTCTATTGTATACACGGAGAAGTAATACGCGCATAGAGTACTCGCCACTTGGAGCAATTGACCAAGCAAGTGTTTATCGTCCCCTTCAACTACGTGATGCTATGCAACATTCGTTTAATCTTGCTTTATATATGTCGCTGACAACTGTTATCGGTTCACTGATAATGCGCAATACCAGCGTATAATAAACGCTAATAACGTTCGTATACGTAATTATCCGCACAATTTCTGATTCACGATTCAAGATTACGTGGATAAATCGATTGCTCGGATGTTAGAGAAGAACTTCAAAATTATCGCCATAAATTTAATGCGATTTAATGCAAACGTTTGAGATTTATAGATTATGAATTTTTTCTTTAACAAAATTATTCTTCTCGACAATTAGAGTAAGAGTTGTTGCAACGTTGTTGTTGTTGTTGTTAACGAATGTACGTGAAAAAAATATAGTTTTTTTATTTCTTGCTGTAACGAAATAATAAATAAATTTTCTCTCTCTCTCTCTTTTCTCTCTCTCTATCTCTCTTTTGAACGAAAAGGATTTTTAAATGAATTTTTAAACAACGTTTAAGCGATAGCTTTGCAATACGATAATATTATTGATTGTTGCTTTTTTTTTCTTTTTTCTTTTTTTTTTTTTTTTACGAACAGCAATGACTCGTAGAGGCAAAAGTCAATGTTCATTTTAATAAAATGCATCTAAAAATAGACGTAATACTTATAAATGTAAATATATTGTTTCAGTTTAAAGATTATTTATTCTTTCCTTTTCTTACGAAATATTTTCCTCGAGATATTATCTCGTAGCGAGTATCGCTATTAACGCGATAAAATGTTATAATTATTCATTTAAATACTTAATAATCCCTTAAAATAAAACTCTTCCCTTCTAATTATTAATCCTAAACTAAAATTTCAAAGAAATTTTCCAAGAAGAATATATTTATTTATTTATTTATTTATTTATTTATTTATTTGTTCAACTTCCGTCCCCTTCTTTTCAATCCTCGTCGTTGTTGTTTCCCTTCGTCGAATAAGCACACGTCCATTCGCTGTTTCGCGTTGGCCTATATAATTTTTACGGGACAATTGCATCCATTCGTCTCGAAAGGATGGAAGGATGGAAAGAACGCGAGACACGCGTGTATCGAGAGGGAGAGGAGAGGGGTCACAATCTCATCAACCAATATATAAATACGAATCCTAATCGGTCGGCTGTCTCTTTCTCGGCCCTTCAAACGTTTAAAACCCCTCGCGTTCGACGTACGCGAGCACACATGCCATTATCTTATTTACGCCTCGTTGTCTCAATGTATCATAGCGATATCCAGGGACCGTGCTCGTCACGGAGCAACAACACGTTCCAACAAATCGGTGTCCACGTGAAAGTTGCCCCAACGAATGGCCAGTGCCCTATCCCCCCTGCGTGGAATCTAATCCGTCTCGTGGAATTATTTCGAGACGAGAGAGAGTGTACAATTGAAAAAGAGGACTTGACGAAACTTGGTGCGAGAAACTTTCTTTCTCTCTGGTGGAAGGGAAGGGAAGGGAAGGGAAGGGGAAGAGGAGGGGGAGGGAGGGGGAGAGAGAAAAGGAGGAAGGAAACGTCTAAGAAATGAGGAATCAACCGGCTGCACAATATCGGTGGAGACGAATGAGGGTAAAACCGAAGGACGAGGATATTCGTGAAGGACGATGGATAAGGTTTATGGTTATATAGAAACTGTAAAGCAATTTTCTATTTTTCCTTGCGAACCTCGACCTCGCCCTCACCATTCCATTATCCATTGACTTTACTCCAACGAAACTTTTATTCCAACCTATGTTTTGACAACCGTTGGGTTCTGCCTGTTATTTTTACGATCCTCGCAGATGGATTTTCCACGGTCCATCGCCGATTTTCGTGAAATTTATCTTAACCCGATGCTTTTTTTCCAAATTATTCCCGAGTGATTAGTGAAACGATCGTTCCAATTAATTATATAATACAAGGAAGAATTTTGCAAAGGATGGAAATAATTCTTTTTCTTCATCTTTACCAAGGATTTTCAAAGTTCAGGGAGAATGATTTTCAATCGTTAAAAACGGCAAAAAATTTCTAAAAGAATCTAAAAACATTCGAGAAGAAGAAGAAGAAGAAGAAGAAGAAGAAGAAGAAGAAGAAGAAGAAGTAGAAGAAGAGAGGATTCGAGGATAATCGCAATGTTGATCAGACAAGTTTTTTTAAAAAAGTTCTGAACATTTATTTTGGCGATCATCACGCGTGTCGCGACAAGCGACACGTTCACGATCCTCGAGTGTATACATATGTACATATATCGTGTCTATCGTATCTTATATATAACAATTATCGTCTATGTACATGATATAACAAATTCGACGAATCTCGAAAATCGGGGAATTAGTTCTCCTTTCGATTTTTAAAATCGGTATACTTATAATACATTTCGATTGAGATTCGATCGCGATACGCGATCGAGAGACAAGAGATCATCTAAATTATTTAATTATTTACAATTTAATCAATTATATTACTCTTTTATCATTTAACATGATCACAAATCGCGCGGCCAGCATAACGATACGTATCATGCGAAATCGGTGAGACGCATTTTCGAGCGTAGGCCAATATTACTTATTCACCTAATTCGATCGATTCTAATTCGATTCTTCTAATATTTACAAATATAATTGCAAGAAAGAAATTGAAACGAAAGTACATATATACACTGCACACGCATTAACCGGGATCGAGAAGATATAAACTTCCGATATCCTCGGACCGAAATTTGAGCGAAACGTTCGACGTGAAAAGCCGGTCCGGAATCGGATCGAAAATGGGAGATCAGGTTGGTCTCTCTCTCTCTCTCTCTCTCTCTCTCTCTGTCTCCTCCAACTCTACCCACTCTTTCCTCGCGCATTTCAATCGTCCCGCGAGAGCAACGGTTCGACAAACCTTTCGCTCGAGGTATCACCTTGCTCGATTCTTATCCGCGCGAGCACAACGTTCGTCGTCTCAACAGCCATCGGAGGAGAAAATAAATCCTCTTCTTCCGTTACGAAACGAGCTCGATCGATGGCGATATCCATACAAACTCTCTCCCCGGCGTCGATTCGATCGAAATCGTCGTTCAACATCGTCGCTCTCCGACCGCGAGCCGGAAGAAACACGAATTCCGGATACCTAGACGATGGACGACGTTCAGCTCTGCCTTCCGGTGAGCACGGTGATCGGTTTCAAGAGCAACTGGGGAGGGCTGTGGGGAAGGGACCTCGGCTGCTGTACCCCGACCGAATTGCAAATGGTGACCGGTGGCGAACGGGGCGACATAGGTTCCGGGCTGCTTCCCGGGGAGGCCGTGGCCGAGGTCGGTTGGCTCAACAGCGGAGGTTGATTCACGTGGTATCTGGTGGGTTGTTGGTTGTGCGCGAACACCGCCGCGGTGCTCTGATGCTGGTGGGCGGCCAACGATCTGAGAGTGGAGTAAAAGTCGTACGGCGTGCCGGACACGGGGATGGCGGAGGCGGCGATACCGGGTGGATATCCGGCGGCTGTCGGGGGTTGGAGCAACCTCTCCATGGAGAATGGGCCGTGTTGAGGGGGTGCGGCGGTGGCTGGGAGCGGTTGCGGTTTGCAGGGCAGACTGGTGCTCGAACTCGTCGCGGCACCGGGCAGCAAGCTGGCCGGATACCCGGCAGGGGTGGAGTAGGCGCCGGTTGCCGGTGGGTAGCCAGCGGCGGCGGCTCGATGCAAATAGGGGAGAGTGTACAAGGATGCCGGCCATCCCGGTGGCGCGTACGCCGATGGGTACAATCCTCCGAGAACGACGCTCCTCTTGAACGCCGCCAGCCGCGACCTCGACGCCGCTGTCGTCCTTCGCCGAAGTTTGCCCGTCGTGCCACCGATGAACACGTCCTCGGAACTCGGATCCAGCATCCAATAGTTTCCCTTACCGGGGTCGTCGTAATGGCGGGGCACTTTGACGAAACACTTGTTCAACGATAAGTTGTGCCGGATCGAGTTTTGCCATCCTTGCTTGTTGTTCTCGTAATAAGGGAAATGGCGCATTATGTACTCGTAGATACCGTTCAAGGTGAGCCTTTTCTCCGGGCTCTGGCGAATGGCCATCATGATCAACGCGTTGTAACTGTAAGGGGGTTTCTCGCATTTCTTCTTGTCGTCCGCCTGCCGATCCTTGGTGTCCTTCTGCTCGGACGACGAGTTGACGGAAGCGGCCGCGTTCCTCGAGCAATCCAAGGGCGGCGTCTCGGCACCGCCGTCCCCGGTCACGTCGAGATCGCTCGAATCCTCGCTCTCGTCGACGTGGCTGATCTCAGGGGACGCCGTCCGGGTGAGCGGAGGTGCTGGGGTACCCGCGCACGCCTCCGGCAGAATGCTACGAATACTGAAACTGCTCTTCAGGGGAACTCGAGGCGGTGGCGAAGCTGTCACAGTTTGTTGCTCGCCCGATCCTTCCATATTCACCATTCTTTTCACGCTTCCGTTCGAAAATCCCGCTCGCCACTTTCCCGCTCGCCACTCGTCACGGAAACGTTAAAACGACGACGCACAACGATCGCTCCGCTTCGGGATCTTCGGTTCACAGCACAGGGACAAACACGAAGCAAATGTCCCGAACAGTAAATACATCACTGTATTTAACTCGGTGATCCACGGTGCGGAAGGGGGGGGAGGATCTTCTTTTTCGTTTTCTCTCCTCTCTCTTGTACTCGTCCCTTCTCTTTCCTCCTCTCTCACCGGAAAAACTCGATTATTCTCGATTTCCCTTTTTTTTTCGATTCGCCACTATGCGCCGTGCTACTCCTGCGAAGCTATGCCGCATATCTGCCGTCATCCCCGCCACGCGCGGTATATATACGAGTCGCGTGGCCACGCCTCCCGAGCTATCGACTTCGCGGGAGCGGAGAGAGCGAGCCAATCGCGGCTCGCGAAACGCCCCTTCCACCGACCACGTCCTCTCTCCCCACCAGGACCGTTTGCGGCCAATGTTTGACAGTAAACTGTGCAAACAGCGCGGAGTTACGACGGGGGCAGGGATTTCGAAGGTGGCCGATGAGTAGACGAGTGGAACGGTGGTGGGGAGCGCAGTCGCGACTAAACTCGAAGCCGCGAACCCGCGTATACAAACAAATCCAAACGCGATATCTGTTTTCTACGCCCTCGTACTGCTCGGTACTGTTCGGGCAACCAACTCTCCACGGGAACCACGTTGTTCGTCCACGCGTGAATACACACCCGAAAGGGGGGTGAATGTCCTTTGTCGAAAAGCCGCCTGCCAATGCTCTTCGATCGAATCACGCAACCTTCGAAATCGATATCCTTCTCCCCCTATTTTCCTATTTTCTTTTTCTTTAAGTTATATTTTTTCGACCGTGATAAGTATTATTGTACGATTAACAACGAACGATCACGCGATGAATATGTACGGAAGAAAGGGACAAATTCCATTCAATAATTTGGGTACAAAGATTGTAAAAACAACAATGGAATTACTCGAAACGAAAGGCGTGCTTACTTATTTGCGGTCATTATGATGATAATATTGAATATTGCTCTCTTGTTGATCGGTAATCCTGTTAGTGGTAACAATGGCGAACAATTGTCTTGGGTAAGTTTATCCGATTTGACCAAAGCCCTCTTGTTAACCGTGCCATAATATTTCTTCAACCGTAATTTATATGTTTACGAGGAAAAAAAATTATTATTTAAAATTTTTATTACTTAAAACGATCGAAACTTACGAGGAATGTTTGTTCGGGAACGTTAAATTTATTATTATTGCCCCGTTCCTTTCTTCTTACCATTTTATTACGAATACCTCTAATTTACCTAAAATTACACTTTAGTGAAATTTTCTTTTTTCAAAAACAATGTACCAATATACGTATTTATACCGTATTTGACTATAATTTATCGCAATTTCGCCATTACGTTCCATCGAATTATCCCTATGAATTAAAATCACGTTTCAAAATCGTCAATGCAGTTGCAATCACGTGGTTCAATTGAATCGTCTTGAATGAGATAATGGCTACCTGCGAGCCTAACGTCCAAAGACACGTCTAACCGTGGTGGTGGTCGGCACTTTTGATGTATACGCCATTTCACGGGCGTAACAGCGCGTATGGTAGCTTTTGGGGCGAAGCTCGTTAATTCTGAAGAAAGGCACCGATGCCTTCCCTCTTGGAGGGAACGATGTCTTGTAGATTTTCATCTCTTGATGGGAAAAGACTGTTGGTGGTCTGGAAAAGATCGGGACACACGGAATTTATTCCACCCCCTTCTCCCTTCTGCTTCTCCCCCCCCGAAAAACGAGATTCTCGCGAGAGCAAATAAGAATGAAAAGATTTCTCAAATAAATTTCGTTTGTTACAAATATGATAGTTCGTTGGAGAGCTAGTAATTTTTTTTTTTTTTTCTTTTTTTTATCCAACGATAATATCTTTCAAAGTTCTATTCTTCTTTCTTCTTTTTTTTTTTTTTTCTTTTCTTTTCCTTTTTTCCAAACTATCTTCATTTCAAAGAACGAAATCATTGTAAACTGATGGTCGACGACACGCCGAATTTCCCGAATTCGCAGAAAAAATAACGAGCCATCCGATTTTTCAAACTGTAACGAATGGAAATTTCTTCTACGATAATGAAGTAATGAACGTTCTGGGACCAAGATTTGATACGCTCGCCGAATCTGCCTCGAAATTTTCAAGTAGCGATGGCTTCGAACGTTCAAAATAAATTTTGAAACTCCGTTTGTTTGAAAATTGTTCCAATATATATATATATATATATCGTTTAAAATAAATAATTTGAAAATTGTATTCGACAATTTGCATTTTTCAGAAGAGATAGGAAACAAAATAAAACTTAAAAAAAAAAAAATTATTTCGAAAACCTAGTCCTAACCTAGTCGAAAATGGCAATAATATAAGATATATAGTTTCTAAGAAAAGGATCGTTTGCAAATTTATTGTTTACCATTTGATCTGATCGCGAGACGTTCGTACCCCACGCTAGGGAAATCATGAAAAGTACGAAAAGTACCGCGAAGGTGGGCGCAAGCGAGTATACGACTAAATCTATGGATCGCCATGGGGTGACGACGTTTTCACGATGGGGAGTCGAGCAGCCCGTACCGGGGTATAAAGATATCGTAGCGAGCCGAAAAATGTTTCTTTCGGCTTCTATGGATGCCTCCTCTCCGGCCACCGAACGAATGCCACCGTCCTTCTCGCCGTTGTCCCTTTTTTTTTCACGTTTGTCACGTGCCTTTTCCCTCGGCGTCACCTTTCGCGCAGCCTCACGTTTCCTCCTTCTCGCGCACAATCCATCCAATTTACATTCCGCTTTCTTCATTCGCAATTTACCAAATTACCACTACGAACAATTTTTCGAAAATTGATTTTACCAATTTTTTACGCAATAATGCCGAACAGCGAGTTTTTAGTTTTATCTCCGTCTTGAATTACTGATAATTTCATTCCTACGAATATATATCATCCTAAGTGTGATGCAAAAAAACGAATCACGGAACTTTCGCGCTTATCCAAAATTTGAGACGTTCGTTTTGCATTCGTGATGAGCGAGGGAACGAAAAATAGGCGACAGTTTGATCGATCTGAAGACGAGGTTGGTTTGTTTCCAAACCACCGTCTCCGTGACGCGTGATCGTGGAGAGTCGTGACCGTGCGCGAAAGAAGAAAGCAATCCGGACTTCGGCAGCCCGCTTTGTTGAGCAAATAGACTCGTTTGTTGGCCCTCCACCGGTTACCTGCACGTCGCATCAGGCCCCGTAAAGGCGGCTGCGTGACAAGGGGATGAAATAATGGGGAGAGCGCAGACGCGGTCGTGCGCTCCGGAAAACTGATTTTCCTGCACCGTGGAAAAACGGCCACCGGGGGACTGACCGGGGGGGGGAAGGTTGGAACACGCCGTTGGAAGTCGGGCGTCATGGAGCTGAGCCGGCCAATCTTCCAAATCTACGCCCCACTATTCTAATCATCACGTAATGAGCGGCCGTGCTACCCTTCATTCGCTACGCTCGCTCCTTTCGCAGCTCGATCGTTAAAAATAGGATAGAAGCAAGTTTCCAGGCCTGAAGATAACCGACACTTGAAATTTCTTGGCTACATGGAAGCGAGAGAACAGTGAAAGAGAACACGAAACGTAATACCTTATTTCCGTTCAACCTCTCTCTCCTTTTCTTCGATTTATTCGCGTCAAAATCCCTCGTGGCAATGTATTACGGGGAATTTTTGTTTTCTTGGCCCCCTTACTTTTCTTGAAATTAAATATACACAAATTAAAAATACACAGATTCTATAATAAAAATTCGTGAACTTGAGTCACGAATCGTTAGTTTGAATTGAATATGAACAGGGAGGGGGAGGAGGGGAGGAAATATCGTGTTGGCGATCTTTCGAAAGGTCGGTCAGTAAGTCAAGCGGATCATCTTCCCGGGGAAACGTGGGGCGAGACGCGGCGAGAAAACGAAAGTGTCAAAAATCGATGGAAATCCGTGGATCTGTGGAACTTAAGCCAACCGCGAGACTCCGGCTTGAAAAAGAATGAAAGGCGAGAGCAGGAGATAAACCAGCTAATCTTCAACCGCTTCACAGGCCGGGCTTTTACAGGAGGAGGATCATCCACGATCTTGAGGAACGGGTTGAAGTTTTAAAAAAGAGAAACCCGAAGGAAGTTTGCGGATAAGCGAAATTTCTCGAAAAAGTCAAGCGGAATCTGATGCCTCGTCACAACGAGAGTGCGTTTTTAAAGAGATTTGCTCGACTTAAAAAGTTAAGCTATATTACTGTACGATGTCTCTTCGATAATCTGTATAAACCTATCATTTTCTAAAGAAGTAACTTTAAGAGAAGTAACGAGTTAAAAGAAAATTGTAATTCTTGATAAATGATAAAAAAGAAAAATTATAAAAAGATTCTTTTAAAATAAGTTAACAAGTGAATTATTGACACGTAAATAAATGTATTGAAAGATTATATTACATCTTTTGATAATTCCAGCACACAGATTCATTCCAAAATAAGGATGTATTCGAAATTCGTGAATATTAGAATTTACAAATTCGAATCCATCTTTGATCGGAGTTAATTTATCCCAGATATTTGCGTGACAAGTGAATGTGTTGAAAAAATACGTATAACTTTTACTAAATATTGAAAAAAATAGTTACAATTGAATTCTAATACATAGATCCATTCCAAAATGGTGAACGACGCATCTTATTTAGAAATTATTCGTATTAGAAATTGGTGAATTCTAGGATTTACAAATTTGAATCTCTTAATCAGGATTAGTTGTGATAAATGAATGTATTGAAAAAATACGTATAACTTTTACTAAATATTGAAAAAAAATAGTTACAATTGAATTGAATATATAGATCCAAAATGGTGGACGACACATTGTATTCAGAAATTGGTGAATTCTAGGATTTGCAAGTTTTGACTCTTAATCGGGATTAGTTTATCTCGAATATTTGTGACAAGTGAATGTGAAGTTGAAAAAATATGTTACAACTTTTACTAAATATTGAAAAAAAATAATTATAATTGAATATATAGATCCATTTCAAAATGGTGGACGACGCATCGTATTCAGAAATTGATGAACTCTAGGATTTGCAAATTTGAATTTCTTAATCAGGATTAGTTGTGATAAATGAATGTATTGAAAAAATACGTATAACTTTAAAATACGTATTACTAAATATTGAAAAAAAATATAGTTACAATTGAATTCTAATGGATTCCAAAATGGT